CTGTAAAATACCGAAATCCAACACAAATTTAAGCAAAAATCAAAGTTTCCTTTGTTTTCATAAGCACAGATCGTGCTTCGGGTGCAAAGCATTCCTGGTCTTTAAGATATGAAATATAGTTTAAATCCAAATTAGTTTTCAAAGAGTTCAATTTCAAATCTTCTTTTCCTATCTTATAAGGGCGTTTATCAAGTGAGTACTCCACAGCTTTGCTTTTATTTACTATCTTTAGCAGCATAGATTTCCCTCCTTCCTGCAGCCTTTTCTGTAGTCGTTTTTGGGCTTTATGCTCCCCTCCCCTCCTAAGGTCTATTAAATATATAATATATATAATATAATACATTTTGTAATCATGTCAGAGCCAAAACTGTTAATGTTTCTTTGTTTTTTTCAGGGGGCAGCATATTTTAAAATATAATGATGGGGTGGGTCACCCACTTTTTTTATTTGATAGGGGTAGGTCAACTGAGATTTACAGCTGGCAAAATGGAATCTGCCGATCCCCCCCCCCAGCCGAAGTAACTGACCAATCCCTAAAGTTCAATCTATATTCACTTATCCATTTAAAGTATGTTTTTTCCTCTGATTACAACATAAACTGGACAAAATTGGAAGGTTAATTCCTTCGTTTAATGCATACATAAAAAGTGACAAAGATAATGAGCCCTGGTAATATTATAGCCCAAATTATGTTCACTATCATGGATACAACCATCATAAACAACAACATTTTCCGTGCGTGATGCAGATCTGAATACAAGACGTCAGCTTTAAATTGCAAAGCCTTCAAGTCACGGATGTACTGAAACAAATGACAGGTATCATTATATTCATAACATATGGTAATGAAGACACGTCTTTATATTAGAGAAAAGTCGCTGTGTCGAGCACGCCGCTAGGTAAGCAGCAAATAAATGCGTTGCCAGCACTCCAACACCTCCATTAAAGCAAATGTTCCTGTGACATCGACTAATGTTTACTCGTGAATGCAATGTCGTTCACAGACAAGTTGGAATAGAGCAAAACTTTGAACAACACTACAGTTTGTGGACAGTGGCCAACTACTACAGGTCGCATTATTAAACACGGAATTCCATTTATATAACTAGGTCATAGGGTAACATTCATTGTTTTTATCAATCACATCCCATTTAAAAGAGCTGTGTTTTCATATTTGTAAGTACTGAAACAAAATTACATTTCAGAAAACAATTGAGCAAACACGTGATATAGTAACAAGCAAATTGTCTGAAAATTAGATTTTGAACAAAAAGGTGGTTTGCAAACAGGACAAAATAATTATCTGTTCAATAATTTTTTCCGACTTGTTTCAAATTATTACCTTAAATATTTTTATTCCCAGTATTGCATGGTTGAAAACTTAAAAAAATAAATAAAATAAAAACATATCTGACACAGAAAAGAACATAAACCAACATTACTGATATTCAAGCAAAATCAGTTTATTATTTTTTTCACAATAAAAATGAACTAAAATATTTGCCATTACCAACAAGTTTTGATATTCATACCTCTTTCGTGTATCCGGCCATCTTGTATTCATGAGCACTGAGAAAATAACTCGCTGCCTGAAATATAAATGGCAGAGGATTGCCAAGGAATATCCCAACAGCACCTATAATGAAGCAAAACAATTACGTCAACAGTGAAAGATACATTCAAATATGAATATTTATTATCGTTGAGTTAAGTTGAATCCTTATTTCCACTTCCTCGGTTTTGAAGGAAGGGCAGAAGTGAGGTCAACTGAATGGGTCTGTACTTACCAGCAGTTGTGCCGACAAATAACGAATTTGACGCTTGTTCGTTGTGATCTTTGTAAACATTTTCAGCTTTTGGTATCTCATGCTCAATGTGTTGAAGTATTAGAATGACAGCGCTCATGAAAGACTCCACTTTTTGGAGAAGTAGTTAATCAGAAAATAAAAAGCGGAAATCTCCTTCGACAAGTCGTCTTTCCAAATCTCTAAACATCTCTTTCTGTTGGTTCCACCCATTTTGAATTTCGTTCAGCTGATAGAACAGCTCGTCCCGTCTCATGCGCATGAATCCTATTTCTATTTGATGTTTGAAACAGATACTTTCGACGATGGCGGCAACTCCAACAGAAGATATTCTATTAGGAGCCTCTCTGGCAATAGTTTCCAGATGCGTCTGTACTAACTGCCAAGAGCCTGGTGACGGACGGTCAACCAAAGCACCGAGGTTTTTACCAATGTCGACTAAGGCGTTTTTGCTACCCTCCTCACTCTTCCAAAACTTTACTTGATCCAATAAACCAGACAACGGGCTGGCATTTCCGGTTATAGTTTTTGCGACATTGCATGCGCTAGTCATCGCATCAGCCATGTTAAAACCATCGACTATTCTACAGCCAGAAAATATCAGTATCACAAAATACAAACACCGAGACGTGGTGTCTGTCGTCATGGTATATATGGAGTCTTCGGAGTTATTGTGTATTATATTTACGCTTGAAACGCCCTGGGAAACAGAGATAACATCTCCACTCCACTCTAATTGCTGTGCGGTGATCTTTCGTAATTCCACGTATGTTTATACTATTCTCAGAATGAATGACTCATGGGAAATCAATTGGTAAAGGTCACGTGACTACGTCGGTATTTCCATGGAGGTATAAACTGATACCTCCATGGTATTTCGTAGAATGTGTGCGTCATGAACACAATGGCCCAATATAATGTGTAAGGGCTAGTCGTCACGTGACCGTGTTACTGAATTAAATGTGGGTCACCGATTTAGCTGGATGAATCATTAAAGCAATCGTTGAATGCATGTTATTGACATGCCCCTGTAATTATTTACACATGTGAACTGAATGCACTGTTCTCATGCGTTATTATTCCCAGCAAGTCCACTCAAATGGTGTGTGTGTGTTGGGGGCAAGTTGTTCATAGTCTATAGCATGTGTACACCCTATTGTTTACCCTTATTGTATGTGACCCTGTTTTATGCCAGACAGGTATCGTCCACGCCAACGCCAGCGACGATTTGTTACTGCAATAAGAAAACATAGGCCTCGACCGCGGAGAGCACATGCATGTCGTATATCAGGAATCCTTTAACAAATTGCTTGTTATTAAATTATGACTGTTTTTATTAATGTTATAAAACGCCATCTTTCTAGGTGTCACAAAAATGTGCTATTCTTTTATAACATACATAACGACCGTTTCATGACCATTCTCTGTGTTTCCTGTTTAGCTATTCGTTTTGGGAATGTAGCAAGTTCAATGTTAATACTTACGTAACAAATTCCGGTCCAAAAGTCATGGCGAAAATTATTAGAACATGTAAAAACCCTATGGATTATGATTATATTCAGGTGTGATTAGTCGAGTGCTATTTAAAGCGGAGGAGTTGTCACCTGCGCATGCGTCAGATGGACATGGACACGTGTAATTTGTTTTACAAACAAGCGTCTACCCATGAGCCTTTGCGTTTTAGCGTGTGTGGTTATCGTCGCTTGGGACTCAATTCCCGCCCGTGCGCAGGTGACGACCCTCCCGCTTTAATTATCAGTTTGGAGGTATAAGTAGTTTATACTTGTGTTAATATATTTCCTTCTTGTTGTTAGTAGATATTTTTAACTGCATGTTTATCAGAAGTTGTAATCTCTTTGAAGGCTAATATTTTAATGCAATTAAATATATTTATTTTTATTTTTTCACTTGTGCGTCTTAGAATGTGAACCCTAGCGCTCCAAAATAAAGTGAGTGATTTTTTTCACGAGTTCTGTGCGTTTTTCGTGAAATCACAAAATGTTTTTCCACGGTACAAGTGAAGGCCGTTTTCGCTTCCATTATTGACCACTTCCCCAAGTCTCGGAACTTGGAAATATCCTGGTTATTGAACTGAATTAAATCAACTAAAGTTTGTGAATGTGATTGTTTCGAATTCAAAATAAATGCATTTGTTAACAACTTATTTATTATAATTGATAATTTAATATAGATATTTTATTACATTTATTACGTCATAGAACAATGGTGCACTATAACATAATATTTCTATTTAGTTTAAAAGATTTCTTTCTGTGATTGCGCACAGAAGAAAGTAGTAAATTAGTTCACGAGTTGTGGCAATCGCACCATGCTCATGTTTAATGTTAAACTATGTACGGTTTATAATACAACAGAATGTTTAATTACAACATAAATATCTAATAGAAAATTGATATTGCATAAATCATGTAAACTATGATTAATATCCTGTTTCATTCTATATTTTACATCAATCACATGATGAAAAACATGTTAAATACAGTGTAATATAACTTGTAACAATGTATATTTATTTTGCATTATCACATACCTTGTAATTCATGGCTTAATAACTATATGCGTAAGAATCTCAATGAGCGAGCTATGTCCGTATAATTCAGGGAACTACTTTTTGTTTACAAAGAGCGCATACAAAAACATAGCCTCGCTATTATTAGCTGCACCTCAATAATGTTGGTCGGTATATTCAGCGACGGAAAATGTACATAGAAACCAGTTGAACTCATTATTACTCGGTGAAGGCAAAGTCAAAGTTGTCCCGGAAGGTGTCAGAAAAATGATTACAACAGAAAAGCAATATATCCCGACGAACAAGACTGAATGTAGAAAGAAGGTAATCGATAGCATCATTCATGCTCTAGCCTAGTCTTCCATGTCGTTTAGCGGGTGAACAACAAACAAATCAGTTAAGAGGACGATTGCGGAGGAAAGCCGGTACAAGTATAATGGGACAGTTGTAAAATCCAAAATAATTACGCCTTCAATGTAAATTTGACAAGTTAAAATGCTTACAAAGTGGTTGATAGTTATTAGTAAGATAAGATACCTTTATTTTAAAACATAGATATTTGAAGAAAATGTATTCTATGTAATGTAGACTGATCAGAAATGGACAGTGAATTATATAACAGTATACAAGTAGGCTACGAACGTAGGTAATATAAAGACATCTGACCTTGAACTACTAATATTTATATTACAATATGGAGTGTGCATAGGAGCCATGATATCCCTGCACATAAACGTAGATTAGCATGAGTAATCGTTGACCCATATCCACTGCAGGCTTGTAAGCGTATTTAAGGCAAATCAAAAGAAACGTGATCAAAATTCCGAGTCTGACGTGGCTCCAGAATTGTTGAACTTCTGCGCGAAATTCTCGTACCTCTTTATGAAATTGGCTGACATCACTTTGAAACGCTTTCAGATCATTCTGGAATTGCTCTACTTCTTTGTGCAATTTCTTCACATCATAAGTCCATTTCTTCATTACTTCCATTACAGATTTTAACTCGTCGTGATCAGACTGGATGTCTTCATAGAGTCTTGTGACATCCCTCTCCATGCGTTCAAGATCACGGATATACTATGCGAGAGTAAACACAATTAATCTTAGTATTTAGTAGGAATACACATTTAAATACCCTTGATTTGTATTGGAGAACTTGAATATATTTTTACGAAACATGTCTTATAACGTTATATATATATATATATGAATTTACCCTGTTCTCATCGCCTATATTTCCTACATTATATATTGCTCCAACGGCTGCCGCTATCACTCCTCCAATTACTGGAAGTGAACCACCGAAAATAGCCCATCCTACAGCTCCTAAAGAAAATCAAAACAAATACTTCCACAAAGTGCTTACATACCATGACCTTTTTCAAAAATAAATTAATATTTGGAGGCAATGCTAAGGAGAATGCACCATGTTCCATCTGTACAGAGTATGTATTGAAAAAAGCGTGACATCGATCTAGTCTTAAGCAACTAATTCACTGAATTCACTCATACTTGAATAGAAAAACTGTGAAAATAAGACTCACCTACGCCACTACCCACTCCAAGTGATGCCAATGCATAAGTACTGGATGCTGCATACTTGCTTTTCACTCTTGGTATTTCTTTCCTAATTTCATACAACAGCGCCCTCGCTTTGTTCATGAGAGCCTCGATCTTTCCAAGAAGGAGTGCGTCAGATGGCTTGAACTCGAAATTCCCTTCACCAATTCTTCTTTTAAATTCTGTGATGAGCACTTTTTCACGATCCCAGTGTTGTTGAATGCGTTCCAGCCGTTCTCGAAACTCGCGATGAGCGGTATCCTGCAGCAGTGCTTCTATTTCGTTTCTCCAGCAGATAGTATCGACAAGATAAACCACACTAATACCAAGAACGGAATATGCGAGTACCTGTTTGCCAACAACTGACTGCAACGAGCGTTGTATCTGTTGCCATGCTTTCGGCGACGTTGGATTGTTGACTAAATCGCCAAGTGAGCGACTAATACTTTTCAACTCTAATAATGAGTCTGGAGCGGGATTAGCCATATAATGTATTGTAGCGACCGACATACTTTCGTCAAAATATTGAACAAACTCCTTGATGTTGTTTACATTACTTGTAAATGACCTTGCCATTGCGCACGCACCTGTCATCGCTTCCCTCATGTACTGCGCGTTGACACTCAGCACCAGCGTCGCCAGTGTTATTACAACAACGTTGGTAGGCATAGTTGTTTGTGGAGTCGTATGACAAGGTGCTGCTCTATGGTATATACTAAGTTATATGCAAAGCGTTGTTCTAAACGTGGCCTCGCGCCATTGGTCACATTATACTTAAAACATATGAATACGGGGAATCATCCAGCGCTGTAACAGAAATATTGACTCAATGAAAGTCACGTGTCAATCTGGCGTTTCGTATCGCTTGACGCATTGTGTCAACATAGATGGCGCTATTCGGTTGGTTAGCGGCGATCTGCGTGTCAATGCATTTGACGTGACTTAATGGTGGAATCATTTCCGGTTCCTGAAGCAGCAGTCATTGTCAATAGCATAGTCCCCGACAAGCATAGTCAGAGTAAATTTCCGAAGAGTATTTAGCATATTAACTACAAATGTGCATGAAACAGGTATAAAGACTAGGTTTGAATGAAATTGATCAAGGCATGCCCAAGAAACTGTTAATGACATGTCCAAATGTTGATATTTGGGACAATTGGATGACAGTTGAAGGTCAACAAAATAAAACAAAGCTATATTCACGTGTATCACTTGTGATGTACCAACTTTGAAAAAATCACGTTTAACCCATTATATCTTGCCTTTGTACCAAATTTAAACCCAATCTGTAATATCATCATCAAATAGGCAGAACACTCATAAAACAATTTTGAATGAATTGAATCAAGAAAAAGATGAAGTGCTTCAGTAACCCACTATGACCGATGTCAATGCCAAGCTTGAATGAAATCAGTCAAGGCATGTTCAATAAACGGTTGATGACATGTTTGAATGTTGTGATTTTGTGTAAATTTCGATGAAAATGAAGGAAAAATAACTGAAAACAACATTTAACCCATTATATAATAATTTATTTACTTGTATTGGAATATTTACAGTGATAACTGATCAACAGCGCATGACATTACACTACAAACTCTACCAAAGAAAGATAAATTACAAACTATATGCTTTCTTAAACAAATAAGTTTTCAAATGTACCTTAAAATCAATAATATTGTTCCATTTTTATTACATGTTTTGGTAGAGCATTCAACGAACGTGGTCCGCATACAGCAAATTCCCTATCACCACATGTTACTAAACGTGAAAATGGTACAGTAAGTAAGTTTGAAGATGACCTGAGTGTGTACAAAAGTGTCATATGTGGATGAAACATTTCGGTAATATATTCGGGAAACTGGCCGTTGAGGGCTTTGTATACTTGCAACATTAATTTATATACAATACGACCCTTTACTGGAAGCCAGTGTACAGAAATTAAAGCAGGTGTAATATGGTAATATTTTCTTTTCTTCAAAACAATCCTAGCTGCTGCATTCTGTACTCTCTGCAGTTTAGATAATTGCACATTCGTTATACCATATAATAAACTATTGCAGTAATCAAGCCATGATCCCACAAGAGCATGAACAATAAATAATCTCGGTAGTTTTTGTTGAAAAATATTTTCTGATCTGGGAAATTCTATACAAATGATAAAATGATGATTTTGTTACCTGACTAACATGACTTGCCATATTCAAATGCTTATCAAACATCACACCCAGATTACGTACATCATTCCTGACAGAAGTATTATCTACATCGAGGGAAATCAAATTTACTTTCCCAATTTGCTGAGGCATGCCAAAAACTAAAAAATCTGTTTTCTCAGGATTTAGTGTTAGCTTATTTTAGTACATCCAATCTTTCAGTTCACTGACACAATCCTTAAGATTAGTCATAGCTATGTCACGATCATATACTGAGTTCGGTTGAAATGATATGTATAACTGGGTATCATCGGCATACGGTGATATGATAGTCCATGATGTTCTATCATCCTACCAAGTGAGAAAGTATACATGCTAAACAAAAGCGGCCCGCGCACCGACCCATGAGGAACATTATATTTTAACATTTGCACTGGGGATGTTAGACCTTCGATCGAAACACACTGGTACCTACTCATTAAATATGATCTAAACCAAGCCAAGACTTTCCCCGAAATGCCAAAACATTGTTCAAGTCGTTCTAATAAAATCTGACTATCACAGTGTCAAATGCTGCACTCAAATCTAAAAGTACTAAAACACAAACATTTTGGCTGTCCATGGACATTATTATAACATTTTGTACTTTGAGTAAGACAGTCTCTGTACTGTGAAACTTTGTATATGCTGACTGGAATGTTTCCTCCAGTGAGTTCTTCTTAATATGCGACACTACTTGAATAGAAACAGCTTTTTCAAGTATTTTTAAGACAAATGAAACATTTGATACCGGTCGATAGTTACTGTATGCCCTGTTTTTTTAACAATGGTAATATTATAGCTTCTTTTAACTTTGATAGGAAAACACCATTAGATAGTGAGGAATAAATTTTATATAGCCACTAATCTCATCAAAACACTGTTTAAAACTCGCGTTGGAAGGGGGGTCGAGGTCACATGACTTGCTGGGTGATGCCTTAATTAGATTTAAAACATCATCTTCCGATAGTAATTCAAATTTCTAGAAAACATGGTTAACATGACAATTCGAATTGACAGGAACAGTATTGTCACTAAAACTGGACCTTATTACATTAATCTTGTTAATGGAATAGTCATTGAAATGACATGCCAATTCGAAAGGTGAAAAAGAGTCAGGATATGGTATTTCTTTCTTTGTGTGAAATAATCTGTTAATTATGTGAAACAAATGTTTTTGAACACCTTCATGTTCGTTAATGAGACCCACATAATACTCGCGCTCGCATTTCCACATAAAACAATTCATGTTCAACCTCATAGCTTTGAAATTATCGTAATCCAACTGCGCTCCTGTGCGTTGCCATTTTCTCTCTAACTTACGTTTTTCAATGTTCATATCCTTCATATTTGAATTGAGCCATGGCTACCGCAGCCGCGATTGGAAGCTTCTAGTAATTAGAGGAGCAAAATCATCAATTATTTTACCCATTGTTTCATTATATGTAGACACTCTACTATTGATATCCATATCTGTGGGAAAAATAAGCAACTTGGACACCTCCCTCCTAAACATTTCCGTATTGATTCATTTGTGTTTTCTATATTCTATTTCTTGCCGTATTGAAAATGTTTTTTTTTTCAATACGTATGTATGTAAGAAATCACTGCCGCATGGTCCGAAATGAACGACCCAATAGTTAGCTTGCCAGTCATAATATTTTCAGAAACCCTAGTGATAAATGTGTGGCCCAACCTATATATGTGTTGCACCCTGCAATCTTGCTTTTGTACAAAATTTAACTCAAATCTGTACAATCATCTCAGAAGCAGAAGACTCGTAAAAAACAAAATGGCTAACAGTCCGCCATTTTGAATCGAACCACGAGAAACACGACGTTCATCATTAACTCACCATGACAGATGTCAATGCTAAGTTTGAATGATATCGGTCAAGGCATGTCCGAGAAACGGTTGATGACATGTTGATTTTTGGTGTTTTTTGGGGACAAAAATTACCGCCATTCAGTCAAAGTTCAACCAACTCAAAAATAAATCGATGTGCAATGGTCTCCTATAATGACTTGTCTTTGTACTTGTTTTGAAGAAGGTCTGCCCAGGCGTCTCTGAGAAATGACGACGGACGCACGAACCGACGGAACCTAAAACATTAATCCCCGTTTCGGACTACGTCCGACGGAGTCTAAAGACAGGGACTAATAACTTTATTATTATTATTATTATACATATTTTTCTCCCAGGGATACATCATGGTAATGCCGAAATCCCAAACGTTTAGACCATGGGGACAGTCATGTTTTCTTTTATTATTAGAGAACGCTTACGCGCGTAATCATTCCATATTTGGAATTCGGGTTTCCTAATATGGTAGGATGAAAATACCTAGTGAAAAACCGAAAAATTACGCACTCTGTAATCTATGGCGTTACGCTGATAGATGTATAATAATATTGTATATTTGGTTTATTGTTCCCAATATTTTAGACTGCTTACCGTAGTTTATAAGTGATATCAGAATGTTGATAACAATGTAATTCTTCCGCCGCGCAATCCCAGTATTTCAGATAATAAGCAGGTAAACTTTTGATCAGAATCCACGTATACAAAATTGTATTAATTTATTTTTCCATTTAAAAGACACGTTTCAATTAACGCTCACGCAACAGTCCCCCCCCCAATTCAGCTACACCTAGACATCGAATATATAAATATAACCATCTCGATTTTGTAGAAAAATAATTGGCGTAATTTTGTTGAAATACGACACAGTGTCCTATTATTGAAATGAATCATTTGCGACATCAGTTAACATATTTTTTTTGAATTTCTATGATTGTAGTGAAAGCAGATGGAATATTTTTATACTAAGAAATGATGACCTCATTTGTTATTTTTAGCTATTTGTGTAAAGAAAGGGCGCATTGTGATGACATGGTAACTGACGGGTTTATTCACATTTATGTATGTGTAAATATGTTGATTATGTGCACATGTATGACATTGCATTTTATACATTATCGTATGCAAACAAGAATACCTCAAAGGGACTGAGCGAACTGTGCTAACACAGTCATATAATGTTTGCTTTTTAAGTTTCAAACAACTTCCGCAACAATTGTTTTTATCGTTTTTTTCACATAGTGTCATTTCGTTTTTACAATATGGGGTTTGTCACCTTCCAAAAATATCGGCATCAAAAACGGTAAGTTTGAATTGTTTTTACTGTTAAATGTAAAAAGTGGGGCACCTTAGCTGGCAACATAATGGTTTCCAATACATTCAAAATGCCCCAGTATTCTCATGTACATTAAAGCTGTTATTATAGCAAGTACGGTTTTTATATTAAATAATGTTAATTCATATATAGCTAGAACACTATTGGTGTATTTGATTAGTGTACATATACTGTCTATATTTACCATTAAACTGAAAGCGCACCCTCGTAAAAAATAGTTTGATCCAGGCAGATTACGAACGCCCACATCGCCTCAGCAATGGTGATATGAAACAGACACAGTATGGTGCTAACGGTAAGTAATATGATGATAATTTAAAACTCCCCTACCACATCATTTTGTTAAATTCTCGCTAGTTTTTAATGTCACGTGTCACATTAGCAAATAAATTAGACATGTCAAGGCAAAGCCAACTACACGGGGCTTATGTAAACTATTATATATTACACATTATATCCCGTGTCAGGAAATACATACAAAATCATTCATGCAGAAATAAATTTGAAAGAGTGAAATATTATAAATATGAAACATTACCGTCATTATTTTACCTGAGTGATAATACATGTTTTTTATGATTTTCTATGGCTGTATTGAGAGCAGATGGAACATTGGTATAATCCAAAAAACGATAACCAGATTTACTATATATATAGCTATCTGTGTAAGGGAAGGGTGCATTGTAATGACAGGGTATCTGATGTGTGTGCGTGTGTGTGCTGTAAATGTTTATTCTAATACATAGACTGCTCGGGGTAGCTGAGTGAATTAGGAATTGTATTTATATATGCACATTCGATGGTTTCTATGTTGATTATGTGAACATTTTGCTTAATAGAATACAGCAAACGGACTGAGTCAATTATATAATAGAACGAATGAATTTTCAGTAATATAATGTGCTATATTTTAGTTTCAAACAACTTCCGAGAAGACATTATTAACTACAGAGTGGAAGACGTCTAGAAGGAATTATGACGACATACTTGAATATATTGGTGAATTTGGGCCATATCAGAAACGATGTTATTATCTACTGTGCCTTGTTGTGATTTTACCAGCTTCCCATGCGTTCGCCCATGTGTTTTTAGCTGCAGAGACTGACTATTGGTGCTATGTGCCAGAGTTGGATAAGTATAAAGATGAATGCTGTCTAAACAACTCAATGATGTTCTGCCAAGATTTGGTAAAGAACCTCAGTATCCCATTGGAAGAGAATTCCAATACATGTGGTAGGCATTTTGTATACAGTCATTGTGAACGTTATGTAAACAAAACTAACACGAATACAACTATGAAATGCAATCATGGTTGGGAATATGACCGATCACAGTACAAGTCAACGATATTTCAGGAGGTACGTATGCGACGTTTGTAATTGAGAAATGACAGCAATTACACACATTAACTTCTCAACTGCTATATCATAATAGAGAGATTCAACCACCCAAGAAAATATGAATTTCACAGAATCAAATATCAAACTAATAATATAAACACAATGAAAACAGTTAATTGGCAATTATAGGGTTTCTAAGCAATAGGAAACAATCCGCAGGAATCTCGTTTACCATTCAATCACAAACCGATAATGCAAGTACAGTCTAGCATTTGTTTACAATATACAAAGCAGGTGCAAATTCTATCAACTACTCTATATATGGAATAATATTAATAAATAATATAATGACTCGAAATAACCATGAAATGCCAACTTGGAATGAACTTTAATGTCCTGAGTGTGTAGCAGGATGAGTTAACTCTTTCCAAAACACATGACGTCACTTCATGTATACATTTGATTCATATATCATTCATCATTTGACTATGTTGTGTAATTTACATATCGGTTAATTGTTTGTATCGTTGTCAGGCATTTGATTTTTATACTTTAACTTGTAAATTTGCTTATTTTCAACGATTTATGGTTGGGTATTTTAGTTGTACTCAAGTGATAGATTTACACTACTATAGATCCAATTAGTATTATTAAGCATTTTCACATTGTAAATTGTGTAGCAAAGTAACACCCATTATAACATAATTAACCGAAATGTTCAACAAATGCGTGCACTAATTACAAAATACAAGACCCACCAAACAGAAAATTCTGGATTTCCTCTAACAAGGAACGACTTTATTTTTGGTATATATTATACCATATTTACTTTGCTGGATATGCAATTTTTATCTCGTTGATGCAAAATAGTCTTGACCATGACACGTCAAATATTTGTCAAGCCCAATGTCCCTTGTCCCTCCTAATCATCAAAATATCGCTGTCACGGTATTGGATTATTTTTTTCAACTTAACCAACACTTAGATATTCTGTGACTTGCGGTAATTGTCTTTGTGTTTCATACTTCATCTTCAAGCAGCATTTTTATTGATAACATGTTACTGTTCATTCTCCATGTCGAAACAGACCATGCATTACAAAATAAAATGTTGTTTGAGGGTTTGTTACGACTAAATCTAATGGTATATTTTTTCTGTATATACATTACTCAAGAACTAGTATTTTATATATAAGAATCGTGAGTAAAATTCGTCATATTAGGTCAAATGTATTATTTGTTGCAGTTTAACTTAGTATGTGGTCGCTATTACATGGGTGCACTATCCTCATCTGCATATTCCTGTGGCATGTTAATTGGCTCGATTGGATTCGGGAGTCTTTCTGATAAGTACGTGGTTTCAGATATTAGTTACTAATTGCATAATCTAATTCTCATGTTAAAATGTTAATACAAGTACATTTCAATCATTGCAACTTATCACTGTATGACCTGCATGTTGAATATTCACTCATTTATTAGTTGTATCACTACCAAAGCTTAAATATCCCTTTTTCAGAATTGGTCGCTTACCAACATTGATGATATCTGCAACATTCATGGCAGTCAGTGGTACAGCCTGCGCCTTCTCACCAAATATACACACCTACTCGTTTTTAAGGATGTTCATAGGCGCTTCCCAAATGGGAATTTTCATTACGACCTTCGTATTAGGTACGACCGCTTCAATACTTCTAGGATAAGACAAGTTTTATTCACTGTTATTGCCTTGTTATACCAAGACAAATTAACAATTGTATAACTTTTGTTAATTACTGATCTCTACACATTCTAGCAACCGAACTTGTTGGACCTTCAACGCGAGTGTTTGTCAGCACTGGAATACAATTTTACTTCGCTTTTGGGTATATGCTTTTAACTATTCTGGCATATTTTATCAAATACTGGTGGATACTGCAATTGTGTATATCGTTACCGGCAGCGATTTTCTTGTTGTACTGGTGGTAAGTGATTGTCACTGTAGAAAGCTAATTATGCAAATGCTGTTATTTTAATACCATTTTCGACTCATCAGCAGTTCGTTTTTTGGAGTAATTATTTAGATATTAATGCATTCGACGATTTAAAAAATATATATAAATTTGGAATTTCATTTCTCACATTATAAGGATCATTCCAGAATCACCTAGATGGCTGATTTCAGTCGGGAAATATGAAAAGGCAGTGGAAATTATTGGAAAATTTGTCAAGGTGGATGAAGTTACTATTCCTGAGATGGCTGAACATACGAGATATTTAAAGGTATGTAACATGTGAATTACTATATAAAACGGCATGTTTTTAAAAGATTGTTGAATGTGCTCATTATTGAAAAGTATTCAATGTAGATTTATAATTTCTAATAGTGTGTACATGGAGATGGCTGAATATAAACAACAAATTGTGCAAACTTTACATGCAAACATTTTCATGAAATATATTTTATACTTATTTTTTTACATCCAGAACTTTATCGTTTAAGGTGGAGATGCAGTATACCTGACAGGTATTTTAATTAGTTAATTAGGAAACCAAGATGACCTCCCTTGTTCACAAAACTATATATTTTCGGAAAGCTTATTGTATGAATTTTAAAATGTCGTCAGTATTTTTTTATGGACACTGTAAATATGCACAAAAATGTGCTTTTTTGGTCAAAAGTGATTTTAAAAAAATTAGCCTCTAAACCATGTTTCTGTTTCCTGTCAAAATTGGTTTATGGATACATCTGTTTACTATGAAGAAAGTGCTGTCTTGAAAACTGTCTACCAGTTGTCAATTTTGCAGGGCAGCAGCTCAAATTTCACTACTTCAAGTTCATGCATAAATTAACACCCAGGCTAGTTGTCTGTACGATTGTTGTAACACTGTTCAACCAAAAACAATGCCCCGACGGCGTTTCGAAGATAAACACATTGTTAATTATTTGTGAAAATGTCAAAACAAAAGGTCGAAGCATCTAGGAGCTATTTTTGTTTTAAGTTCTGGGATGTGCACTAAAAAGAAGCTGAGATAATTGCTAATATGCATAACCATTCACTCAGTGAGAAGTTTGCTAATGCTCATAATTAATATGGCTGTAACAGTTCCAAATTTAAATTTTCTCCATGTTTCTTTTTTATTATTTATGTACATCCTTGCTAAATCTTGCTAAGCATTCAAAAGAGAGAATGTTTGCACCTCTTATCGACATTTTAAGTTTTTGAGTATGTTCCACTATTCACAATTCTACAAAATTGTAACAGTCTATAGCCAAGACTGTTTGGATAATATAAAGCAAAAACAAAATTCACTCCCAAGTACAAATGAACCTGCATCTTCACCTTAATGATAATCATATTATAGTATACTTGTAATTATTATACGACATCTGGTTGTGTAATGTTTGGCCGTGTGTATATTCAGTTCCTGTCTTATATAAAAATATGATTTACATATGAGTTTTATTTCTACACCACATAGCATAAAGATGTTGGACGATTCCTTGACCTTTTTCGACTACCGAACATGAGAAAGAAATGTCTCACGCTTTGCTACCTATGGTAAGGAGAAATAAACAATATGATGCATACTCATTACACCACGTTACTCGTATTACGTCAATTACTTCCAAAGTAAAGAACTGTTCTGATTTCTTGAAAGTACAGCGTGTTTCTTTTTAAATAGGTTCACGTCATTCTTATTGTATTATGGCCTTTCGCTTAACACGTCCAGCCTGGGAGGGAATGACTACGTGAATGCGTTCATGTCGGCAGCAGTGGAGATACCATCTACTGTATTATCACTATTTCTTCCTGAAACACGCTTAGGACGTAGATGGTCCCTATCTTCAACATTATTATTGGCGGGAGTAGCTCTCATACTTACGTTGTTTACACCTGCTTGTAAGTAGTATCTCTAACGGTGACATTAAACACATCACCGAATTAAAAATTTCGACTATTCCCTAACTCAAAATCTTGACAAATTATGTGAGAGCTGAACTGCTCTCTGTATTGTTATTTTCTGGATGCTAAGCAAGTCACAAAGTAAGTTAGTGAAAATGTTACAAACAATATATATGCAATGTTATACATAGGCAAATTTCAATGGATTGGCACCAGCCTGACAATAGTCGGAAAATTTGCTGCTTCAACCGCCTGCAACATTGTTTACATATTCTCTGCTGAAATCTTCCCTACTCCAGTAAGGTAAGACTTAATCTAAAGTTTCTATAATTGTTGTTAGAAGATATCACTGACAACATATACGTTGATAAAACAAAACCATCAAGAACCATCCATATTATTCAATCAAAACATTTCGTAAACATTTTGTGTGGGTTTGAGTGAATAATTACTTTAGCTAAATTTATCAAATGAATGAAAAGTTTAGTTTGCATTCATATTGCTTAGTGATAAGGCGGAAATTCAGATGCTACTAAAGGGCAACCCAAATTCAAGTCACATGTACCGTATGATACAAGAACGATGATTCGGCATAGAATTACTTTGAATGATGTCATTTTCGAATATTTGATACAGGATAAACATTTGAGTACTTTACATACTTTCAGGTACATACATACAAGACGTTCGACTCTCCCAAATTAATTGCAAAGCAACTCTCAAACCACCACGAATTGTCAAGCACTCGCTCGATTGTAGACATGCTAAGGCTTTAACATCATTTCATGGATATTTTAGACGTCACCAACAAACAATTGAAATAGTAAAAACATTATATTAATTATAACGTTGTACTCTATCAAATCATGAAATATTTTAGATGATATGCTTGAGATATAATTTAAATTTATTTTAGTAGAACAATAATAGTTTCACATCACATTTGTGTTATCAAGTTTTATTGTTAAAGTTAATAGTACGTGGTAACAGAGGGTTGCATTTATGCTCGTGGTCATGTTCAACATTACTGACTAATTTACGTTTAACTTCAATATGTTCACATTTGTTTATTTATTATTTCCGATGTCATATGTAATATTGGCTGTTGGTCGAAGAATCTTGCATAAATTTTAATCGCAGTGAATGGCACGATTTAATATAATATAATATAAATGTCTATTTAGAACAATAGGAATTGGCATTTCTTCCATGTCTGCCCGGATTGCCTGTATTCTAGTGCCACAAATGATATTGATCAAAATAGTATGGGAACCTTTACCAATCATCTTATTTAGTGCATCATCTATTTCGGCTGGATTCCTTTCGTTATTGTTACCAGAAACGCGTCACCACAAACTACCACAAACATTGGAGGAAGGCGAAATATTTGGGAAGTGAGTATTTAGCCTGATTTTTTTATTCTCCCGCCATTTTATCGTTCGCTTGAGAGATAGAGCCGCTGAAGGGAAGGCTGTCAATTTATTATTACAATAAAGAATAATACCAACTGGTGCATCTGCCTTTAAAAAATGCGATTAATCATGTGATTCGGCAGCCATGCTTACAATGATCACGGCGATGTGATATTGTTATAGCATCACCTGACTATGTTCTACCAATATCGCAAATAAAAAAGTATAGCACGTCAAACGATTTAATATATTTTCTTCAGACGCATAAATTAGTTGGATTTGTATGTAGCATGTATGTAATGCACTTGACCCATATGCACTTGGTTTTGGTGGAAGACAAACACATGTCGATGTTTGATTCCATTTGCTTTTGAATATGTCTTTTATGACGTACAACTGTTAAATCAATTATTCCAAATGTTAAATATTGTCTGATATCCTACAAAGTACAATTTATCAAATTGATTTTTTTTCAAAAAATGTTTAATGTAGCGACACTGCCATAGTTGAAGTAAAAGAATTAGGAGTGGTGCTCTGTGTACTGTTGTTATTTTTTGACACCAAGGTAAAAAATGCCAGGTTCAAAAAATGACACGCGTCAAAAGACATCGCACCGCAGGTATTGTCGCTGTTAAGAAAAATAAGATGCCGCAAATATCACAGTATAATATTATTTGTACCATGGTTTTCTTATTGATCACTTGATTATGCACTCACAATCACTATGATAGTGTGCACAGGTGCTCGATCTTGAATCAGTTAGATATATAAGCCAGTTTGGTCAGTTTTCGAGCCAGATCTAATAAATTGCTTTGCCTAATCAGATGGCTAAATTTCCCACTTTATAATTAATATAATATTTAACTGTCACTATGTATAACTTGATATTCTATGTTCAACGATGATTTTTTTTTTAATTAATAATTTGTCAAGGACGTATAGAAAACAAACTGGTAATGGGATGCAGAATGATGGAATCATGCTGGAGACAACAGTGAAAGGCTTGCAAAAGTGAAGCTATTTAGGAGTATTTTATAACATTATTTGTATTCGACTATAGCGTGCCGACATTACAGAAAAATATCAGTTGACAGAGCATTACTGTATTATATAGCCATGGAGGCCGGTATTCAATAACCATGCGCAATTTTAGATGTATGTAAGAAAGTTTTGTAATAAAGTAAGTGTCTTTAAATATGTAGTAGCATTCATTGTGTCACAGTTTTAACGCTATCATTGCAATGTGCATCCATTTCTTTATTTTTAGTCATTGTAATTTCATATACCTTTTCCCCAATAAAATTCTAACAATCTACAATCTACCGTTTTAATCATCGCGGAACATGTCAGTTAATAATATTAGGTAATTTTGAAAATAATATCTTAATCAAAGTTTGTTTAGTGCTAACAAAACTGATCGGGAAGAATATGCTAATATATCAGAAACCTGCATAGCAGGCACGAAAACATTTCTTAAATTGGTAGTGACACAAGCCATTAGCATGTAAATTTATTTCAAATTGGGGGTCATATGTAGCAGCATTTTAAATTACTTTTCAATTGAATTTTAATTGTTCGGTATTTGACCTGTACAAGATTCGTGAAGCTGTTCGCTATTAAAATGAGCGCTAACAAATCTTGTTGTCACTTTCCCCAGTATTCAATGTGATTGGTTAGGAAAACAACATTAGTCGAATTGTAAATGCACGACACAATATGATGAATGCACTTGTTGGCATGATAGGTGCACAAAATAAAACGGTGAATTCACAACATAATATAGTAAATACATCACATAATATAACTGCAGTACATGACATGATGAATGCACAACATAACGCGGTAAATGCTCCACATAATATGATAAATGCATCACATTACACAATGCGTGTACCACATAACATGGTATATGAATGACAACTTTGAATACATTATGAATGTACTACATGGCATGACGAATGCACAGTGTATCATCATGGATAATATGCTTATTAATATGGTAAATGTACCACAATACATGAAGAATTCACCGGATAACATGGTCAATTCGCCACAAAATATGATGAATGCACCACGCACCACATGACCTGACGATTGCACTACATGACAAGATAATTGCAGCACATATTTTGATTAATGCACCTCATAACATGGTGAATGCACATCATATGATGAGTGAACCACGTAACATAAAATTATATGACTTGTATATAGTTATGGCGTTCCATACACTTCCATGATGAATCAGGCAGGTTAATTACAGTTTTTTCAGGTTTGTCGCATATTTTTATAATCTTTTTATTTATCAGCCATTCTTATGTGCTAAAAAAGGCAATAGCATAAATTGTGGCTAATCGTGGTGAGTAATCTCCTAGAAATTCATTTTCCTTCTTTAAGAAATGAATCAAAATATATGTTCAATAATGCCCAATTCGTTTGCATCGAGATAGGGCCATATATATATATAGTTCTGCAGCATCCTGTTATGTTTGTAATTATATTGAACACTGAAAATGTCACATTTTGACAACGGAATAAACGGTGTTAAATCATTAAATCGTGTAATCGGGGGTCTCTCTGGAGATGTTAGGTGTAGTTGTGGATATTAACGGACCATCAAGGAAGATCAATCCCAGTGCCGTGCCCAGTGCACTCAGCAATGGTCTGGTGAATCACTACGTAAATACGTAGACGACGCAGAATTCTGTGTCATGACTGACTGGCTGTCTCCGGGAATTCAGTACACTACTGTACATACATATCCTTAGACTGGCCCAGCTGTGGTGATTTAAAAAAAAAATGGAAAAAATAGTTTTGCGAAAGGTGGGGTGAATTTCGCGTTAACACCTCTATTTCGCTTTTTTTTATTTAATTTTAAATTTAAAAAGAAATAAATCGCCCAGACTGTGCCAGTCTAACAGATCCTGTATGCACATCACTCGGACCCAGTCTGAATGACACGCGCCCTCTAGGGTCAATTAATTAAAAATCAGAAAAAAATGTTTTGTGTTATGATTTATACCGGGAATATTGTAAGTGTTCTTCGATGCAAGATCTCCATCGCGCGATGACATCAGTTATGACGTCTTACTATTACTAAGAGCGGGAGAGAAGTGATAATGTTTAGGATAGCACCCTCAATCAGAGACGGCGGTACGACATTTTGCATGGGGGTGGTCTTCTCACCAACCTCACTAAGGGTCCATTTGAAATTTGAAATCTAGACCTTCTGAAACGATATGTCCTGTTTTTTCAAGGGCACATTTTGCTAACACAAAGGGTTTCAGCTTGATTATGGGGCGACATTTTTTTTTAGGAGGGGGCGATCATTTTTTCGAGAAGCGAGCACCCCTTTGATCCCCCCCCCCCTCGTGCCGCCGCCACTGGTAATTATGAGGATTCGCTTGTCACCATAACTAGATCATTTACGTGTATTCGTAAGGGCGGCTTGTTTGCACAAGTATGACGACAATTGGAGTATTCAAACAAATTACTATAACTCGACTTTATCGTCAAAAGGTCAGTTTAGAATATTCGACGAAGAAACACGCTGGGTGAGCAGAATGCAACGCATCATTTACTCGCTGCATTTGATTCCACATCCCGAAGGAGGCTACTTCAGGGAAAATTACTGACCAGGAGCTGAACCGATGCCATGGCATCGAAGGGACTAACATACCCTACTGGAAAATTGATAGAGACGCCAGATCGCCAGGACGTAGTTCGTAATGTTTGCTCCTCTGCATACTATATGCAAACAAAAGAGTGCCCGATTCAATATCTGCACCAATAGGCCATATGCATGACCTCCAAAAGGTCACACATCCTGGTACTTTCTGGGGGTGTAAAATTCACTATCAATTCGAATTTAATTATTATTTTCTCACAAAAATGCAAGCAGTTATCTTTGAAATTCAAAAACAGTTAAAAATCGTAAAGAATGATATATATTATTGGAAATTCTTGCTGTGATGGAACAAAATCCCCCCTGAAAGTACAAGGATGTGTGACCTTTAGAGGTCATGCATAAGGCTAATTGAAGGATGTTATAAAGTGCATTATTATCACGCTGGTGGGTCTGTTCAGTTTCACGTCGTCTCATCTGATGGCAAGCTGGAGTTGTATCGCTTGGGAATAGACTTCGAGAAAGGAGATGTCCCGCAAGTGGTCATTCCAGCCGGATCCTTCGTGGCCTACGAGTTGAAGGACGGCGACTGGGCGCTTCAGGGGGTAGCAACAACTCCCGGATTTGATGTTCGTGATATCGTGCCAGCCACCGATGATCTGTTGCAGCGTTTTCCTGATATCGCGGACATTCTGCAAGGTTTGATGAAACCCAAACAAAAATAACTTAACTAACTCGTTTGCTGTATTTCTTGTTTTATGTCGTTAAAACTAATTTGAATCAATTTAAATAATTCCAGTGTCGGAAGATTCTATATTCTGAGTCGAAAGAACTAGAATCAAACTAATTACTTGAACAGTTATATAATTTGAAAATTTTCTCTTTACTAAACATCAAATTTAAAATTGATTAATCCTACATAAAATACTTTGCGATAAGATACCGTCTCTATGGTAACGATAACAGCTTAATGTAAACGTTAATATTTGTATGTCTTGCATACGTGCTGCAATGGCGCTCATTCGACTTATCAGCACGAAATCATCTCCTACACTCGTTAATAAAGTACATACTGAAAATGTGATTATTTTTGAAAAATTCTTGTTTTATTATAGCAGGATGAATGTTTGTGTTGTTTGTAGTTGTGAAAAGCATAATAAAATATGTAAATGCAAACAATGTGTGGGAGAACCAACATCTGCATAATGCTGCCTCTATGACAAAAAACAAAAACAAAAAAACAAACAAAATAATTGCGCAAATACAGAATGTTAAAAAATTACTGCTCATATGAGGAGTATCTTTCAGTAATAAGACTCTAAACATAGATCAGCACTAACAAAACTAAGATTGAATTAGTGCCCATGTTCTACAAATAGAACAGATTTGCTTAACTGTAAATTATATGAAAATGAAAGTAACCAACGCTGAGTCAAAAATGTCACTCTCAAATGCGACAGATGAAGAAAAAATGATAGCCATGATGAACAACAATGAAAATAAAACAATTATAAAACTAGCTAAATACATATATGAATGTTTCAAAATTAGAGAAAATAACATAAAAAGCCTTCATTCTCATCCAAATAGGCCACAATATTAATATCAAAGCATATCTGCAAGGTTTTTTTCTATGATTATTATTATTATTATTATTATTATTATTATTATTATTATTATTATTATTATTATTATTATTACAATCCCACTATTGTTTAGAATTAACAATTTGCATGTTTAGGTTGGATATTATAAACATATATTACAGGAGTTTGATACAAAGATTGTTTACTTATTGTATTTAGTAGTGGCAACTTTGCAAGGCTTTAACCGTGAGACACATCCCTGGTAATCACGTGATTATGCCAACGACTGCAGCGATTGGATGATCACATATTTACTCTGCCACGCTTTAGGGTTTTGACTTTTAATCATATAGAGAGTTTGTAACCTTTGTAAGGGAGGCGGGAGAACGGTGCAGCGAGGGGTTACCTCGGCTGATCTGACTGATTGTGTGAATAAAGCTGGACTATCTGTAATGAACTATTGGGTATTCATTTGGATCGAATCTGGTATCTCTACGTGTAAGTGACATCAGCCAGGCGAGACGTTTCCTGATCCCTGAATACAACGCCTGCTTTCACAACACGATCACAAACAGACTGAGCGCACTCATTAAAATTATTCAGAAAATATGTAATATCTTGTCAAATGTATCAATACATCACGAATAGTTGTCCGACATCTTAAAATGCCATAAGCCTCCCTAAGCTTGCCACAGTTGTTACAATTGTCTAAACAAATAACACAGATTTCATGGCACAGTAATTAATTTCCAAAAATCATTGACATGTACATTTTTGAGATAGTACTTATATGTTGGAGATTAAATATAATTATAACCTATATCATCAGAAATACCTAATAAATCATCCATACTACACTTATAAGTTACAGTCAGCGATCGCGACGTTATACGTTACAAATAATGTTGTGTTGGTTAATTTATTGAAACTTTTAGTACAAAGTAGTGAAAGGGGCATATATAATGAATTCTACCTTATACAGTATCGCCAGAAACCAATATGCTTATAATAAAAAAAATCACGACAAAATTGGATTTTTTTCGAAATGTGGTTCGACCGAAAGTTTATGACATTGAATGACAATGTCACTTACGGATATAATTTTAGTATACTAGCGTTAACTGTGCATTTTCACACAAAAAGTTAATTCGGCCGCGTTGAACGTGACTAACCATTTCTGTGTCAGGGTGAAGGTTTTTGTGACCTTACCCGCTTGGCTATTTTACTGCGCATGTGCAGGACCGATGATTACTACATTATGCTGGCGATGTGACCTTGGAGAAATGGGTCATCGTTAACTTTTGTACGTATTTGTTTACAGTATACATAAGGTGAGTGCTTTTGCTCCTGTCCTATATATGGGGTGAGAATACCGCCAAAATTAGCTTGGTGTCATTATTTGAACATTGTTTAGTTTTTGGTCTTTATTTGGAAACTTGTTTGGTTATTATTTGGTCATTATTCGGTTATTTGGTCTTTATTTAAACATTATTTTGTGCTTATTCCATTATTGTGTTATTACTGCAGCATCGTATTGCTATTGTTTCATAATTTCAACTTTATTTCTTAATTATTTCTTTAGTGTGTAATTGCTACAATATTATTTTGTCATTGTTTCATTATGTTGCAATTGTGTCGTTATTTAAACATTATCTTGACATTCAATTACCTGACCTACATTAGCTGACCCTGGCATACATGTAGTATTCAATCCATAGTCCCGGGCCGCCTCTCATAAAGCATTGATCGAGATGGCAATGCAGCCTTTGTGAAAGTTATCGGGAATTTCTGAATAATGGTCGTTTCACCAATATCAAGAGAAATGACTGAGGTCGTCAGAGCCTGTCGTGACGCAATATCAAATGCCGCAAACTTGGTTGGAGAATATTACTTCTCCAAATGCGATGACTGATGTGAGGAGGAATTATTACACAGTTCATGACACGGCTGACACGGTTAATATCCGACATGTTAGTGCCATCAAAGTTCTTTTTTTTTAGTTGAACCATGTATTATTCTGATTCTCATTCCCCGGCCTCTCTTATATCAGGTACATATTGACAGACATATTCATGTTATGGGCGTGATTGTTTACGTTCACTCCATTATTGTCAAGATGCCGATATATTTGTACGGCTGATTTGTAGCGCGCCATTCAGTTCATGGCGTTACGAAATCGGATGTCTTCGTTGTTAGCAATGAATTTGTGGGTTTCATTGCCAATAACAATCACATCAGTGTCACGAGAGTTTTTCACCAGCCATGCCTCGCATCTGTAGTAATCACAATTATGCTGTCTTCGAGGTTTTCGTAAATGTCGACTTCCTCTCGCAAAGCAGTTTCACAGTTTCATTTTTTTTTTTTTATTCGATTGCTGTGAATGACTCCTCCGTCAAATTCCCCATATATTACTGGCCAAAGTAGCCTATTCCGACGGTTGACAAAACCCAATTCTGTAGCTGACTAGAAATTTGCTATTTGGTAAGATGGGGAGCTGAGTTCCATCGAAATGCATGCACCCGGTTGCAACGGGTTTACAAAAGTTGCGCCATGAACTAAATAAACAGGGTTGTCCGGTAGCAGAGAAGTGTTGCAGTTGTAACTGTGAAATTTCGCTTGCTGTACAAGCAACTGTGGTTATAAACATCTTGCCAGAAATATCAGTATATGTGGGCGGAATTCATTCGTTTTATCGATCTTTATATATAACCTTTGACTGTTTATAGACTAATGTATGTTTGTGTTTATTCAACATTTATTGACAGTATACTTCTTAGAATCATAATTTCATTTTATGAATGTGATACTATGGGAAACTACTAGTAAGCACACCGAGCACTAATTTGGCCAATATTTGTTCGAATATCGGACTAAATACCGTATTTCTATTGGTTCAATGAGAACACCTCCGCCCTAAAAATGTTACTCGGTCTATAGTTAAGTTTTACGTTTTTGGCACTCGTATTGGATCAGTTGCGTTTTAGTTCACATCTGTAATTCAGATGGGGCGGCACGAAAATTTGCATGGGGAGGATATCTGCTCACAACCTCTAGGGGTCCTGGGCATGCTCTCCTTTCAAAAATGTTAAATCTAGGCCATCTAAACGCTATTTCCTGCATTTTGAGGGGAAATTTTGCTGACACAAAGGGTTTCAGCTTGATTTTGGAGGGGCGACACCCCCAACATTTTCTTCGTGGGGTGAAGCTGCCGCTGTGTATGTATGCTATTGAAGAATAAATCGAGGTTGAGTTTTAGTTTTCACGACGTGTTCGTTTCAGTTTCACTGTTAAGAAGATCGACCCCCCCCCCCCGCGATCCATACGCGGGTCATAGATTGGACTAAATTCATATCGTTTTCTAACAAAACTAAACCAGACGGTCCTTTTATAAATTGAAATTTTATTAATATCTGCATAGCATTTAACTATTCATGTGTTGAAACCAAATCTGCCCTTGGCCTTAAAACGAGACCCAGTCTAAGATGATATACTGACATGAAGCCCACACCACGGTGTAAACAGCCATAAGACTGTTGAGACTGTTACACATACCATTGGAGTTATAAGATTGGGAAAAGAAAGAAGTACTATTATATCGGTGTCTTACTAGTATACCGGTTCTAGTCGACTCACGAACATCACCCCCTGGTACTTTGATATACATGTATTCAACTCAACGCGGGTCACGTGACTCACCATTTCTCACTATCATGTCAGCGTCAAGGTTGTTGTGATCTTACCCGCTTCGGTATTTTACTGCGCATGTGCAAGACCGATGATTACATTATGCTGGCGATGTGACCTGGGAGAAGCGTGGCATCGTTAACGTTCGTACGTATTTTTTATAGTATACATAAGGTGAGTACTTTTGCTCATGTCCATGCTAAATAGTCTCGTTTACACGTGTATGTCTTATGTAACCACACACGTCCAACTCGTACATGCGATACGTAGGTTGACACCAAAACCGGAAGTACTATCAAAAAACGTTGGTTCGTGATGTGATGTACAAAGTGTATATGGAACGAAGTGACTGTGCGACTATATGGTCGATTTACATGCGTCCAATATGAAAGTTAGTATAACTGCAGTCACCGGGTTAATATTCCATGTACACGTCAACAGGCATCCGTGTGATGAACTCGGCTGAAGCTAGCAGACACTCCCAGCAGACAGGGGAAGCTAGCGGAAACACTAGCATCCACAGTTTATCAGGCATAACAATGCTTTGAATCAAAGTTTATCACATCTTTTTGCATCACGTAATCATAGTTTGACATCAATATATTAATTTAAATGGCTAATATTCATTTAAACAGAGAAATTCTAACAAATGTACTCACTCCCCCTGAAAGTGTTTCTCTATGTGCGTGTATATAAACACTATTCCCAATATCTTATTGAAAATATTGAGTGTGCACCTTATCCACTTATATGCTATGAAACATACATGTATTGATTACAATTTATGATAGGTGACATTTAATAATTAGCAGACAATTTCAAAATGTGGAAATCATAATTATGGTTTAACTGCCCTGTGGTTAATGTGCGCACTCAATATTTTTATTGGGCACCGATCACAAATTGTAGTAAATACATGTATGTTTCATATCACATAAGTGGTTAAGGTGCACACTCAATAGTTTTACTGTAATTATTGACTTAATTAGTGTCTGCTAACAAATAGGACAGTTTTACCATAATTATGATTTCCATATTTTAAAATTGTCTGCTAATTATTAAATGTTTTCTATCACAAATTGTAGTCAATGCATGTATGTTTTATACCACACAAGTGAATAAGGTGCACACACAATATTTTTACCGTAATTAGTGACTTAATTAGTTAGTGTCTGCTAGCAAATAGGGCTGTTCAACCATATTTATGATTTCCATATTTTAAAATTGTCTGCTAATTATTAAATGTCACCTATCACAAATTATAGTCAGTACATGTATGTTTCGTACCACATAAGTGGTTAAGGTGCACACTCAATATTTTTACTGTAATTTGTTACTTAATTAGTGTCTGGTAGCAAATAGGGCAGTTTTACCATAATTATGATTTCCATATTTCAAAATTGTTTGCTAATTATTAAATGTCACCTATAACAAATTGTAGTCAATACAAGTATGTTTCGTACCACATAAGTGGTTAAGGTGCACACTCAATATTTTTACTGTAATTTGTTACTTAATTAGTGTCTGGTAGCAAATAGGGCAGTTTTACCATAATTATGATTTCCATATTTCAAAATTGTTTGCTAATTATTAAATGTCACCTATCACAAAGTGTAGTCAATACATGTATGTTTCGTACCACATAAGTGGTTAAGGTGCACACTCAATATTTTTAATACAATATTGGGAATAGTGTTTATATACACGCACATAGAAATACACTTTCAGGGGAGTGAGTTCTTTGTTAGAATTTCTTTGTTTAAATGAATATTAGTCATTTACATTAATATATTAAACTCAAACTATGATTACTTGATGCAAAAGATGTGATAAACTTTGATTCAAAGCATTATTTTGCCTGGTAGACTGTAGCTGCTAGTGTGTCTGCTAATTTCCACTGTCTGCTGGGAGTGTCTGCTAGCTTCAGCCGAGTGTACGATGATGTTGACTACACATAAGTGCTCATACCACTAATTGAAACTCCATTAACGACAATGTTATCACAAGACAAGATTGCTAAATGAAAATAATAAACAAAGTTAAAAACATGGCTCAAAAATGGGTAATTAACATGCCAGTAATCAACCACATGAAAAAAACTAACATGTTGGCCAGCTCAAACTCTTGCAAATCTCAGGTAAACAAAACACACCTACTGTATTTGGATTGCATCTAGAGAAATCACTGGAAAAACGCCAAGATTAGAACATCCAAATACATACAGAATAAACCCAAAGGTACACAGCCGCTAAGTAGTACACAAAAGACCACATGTTGGTCTCACCTTTGACCCAGGTGATCACGCCTCACACAGGGAGCACCTGAGAAAAAAATTTATTTTATTTATTTATTTATTTATTTATTTATTTATTTATTTATTTATTTATTTATTTATTTATTTATTTATTTATTTATTTTTTTATTTATTTATTTCACCAGAATGACCATTATTACAGAACTTATAAACAAAATACAATAGTAGTAATTCTGGTGTGGACCATGGAAATAGTCCTTATGGACTAGTACAGTCCATGGCCCAGACTGTCAAGTAGAAATTGACAATGGTTAAAAAATTTCATTGGTTCTTGCAAGGCATTGGTTGTTTAGTGGCATAAGACCTATAGTCATGATGTTCGGAGTGTGGGTGGATGGATAGATGTGGGCGACTTATTCCCCAAAACGCTGAACCGTTTTACTTGATTTTAAATGCTTTGATGAATGTAGATTGAAATTTGAAAAGTCGATCCGCCAAAAAATATGCAAATTAGCTACAAAAAACTTAAAATTCCTGAATGACTTCTACTATATGCGACAAGAAGCAATCATTAAACTTCAATGATGCTTCATTATAATGCGCTGACCGGATAAAATTTCAGTTCAAACACAGGGAGTTGGACAAACTTATGTATTTTAATGAATTATTAAATAATAAAATGTTATATAACTTTTCTTTTCTTTCTTACCTCCTGGTATAAATTTCAAGTAATCACTGATCTGTGTTTATACCACTCTTCCCTTTATCACAATCTTTGTTACGCGCTAATGTTATATGCAAATTTTAACGCGCGATGTAGACACACCCTATTATAGTAAAATATCCCAAGGTTTGAAACGTGTCAGGACTGCGGCATGAGCACAACCGTAAAGCGGGTGGGAATTTAATTTATTCATGAGATGCATTAATAAACAAGAAATGCTGCACGCGAAATTTAAATCCGGCGAGTGTAATCTCCGACGCGATGCAGATTTTATGTGGATGATTGCATTTATTGTAGCACAGTTTGGGTAATGTTTGCAATGCGTCATACAGGCAGTGTATGGCACAACTGGCCGACAAAAATAGTCTCATTTGCGTAATTTATTATTCATGAGTAATGAAAAAATTGTTCGTTTCAGTAAAACTTTGCAAAAATGCTTTCCAATAGCCAACATGGTAGTTCTAAATTGATTGATGATATCGTTACGAGCTGAAACACTTGTTACCAAACGCTTCAGCGTGGTATTAAGATTTTGTTTTCAGGCTTGGGTGGTACCAAGGTGGAAAATGGTTGCACATATGGGGGGTAATTCCTGGAATTGCAATAGAGAGGGTTCAGGCCGAAATACATATATATAGTGTTTCCATGTTTTGTCTGATATTTCTGTGGTATTCTGCTGCTGTAAATAATGCAAGATTTGTTCCGAAATTCAGTATGTTGTGTGCACTCCAGGGTTATTCGTTTTATGCTCAAAACACCCCTATTTTTTAATGGCAGAGTCGAATAGTTTCACTCCCACTGGGAAATCTGCATTGTTACTTGAATGAGAGCTAACTAAACACATTTTCCAGACCGGCGAAAGTGTATGCAACAGCCAATTTTAACAGCCTGTCACGTGATTTTAGTCTGAATGTCAACATCAAAAGAGGCTAATCCATTTACGCAGGTATAACTGGGAATAGAATATGTGAGGGATTGTATCAACAGAGATGTGTATAATGAAAAGTACATCTATCCTTCTTTTGCATCGCTGAGCATTTCTGTTTTAGTATACAGGTTTGAAAATGTTGAATTTGCATGATTTGCAATGTGTTTTCTTTACTGAAACTCCCCTATTGATCGAATCTCGGGTTTGAAAGAGAACGGCACACCACGTGATTCGTTTGAATACAATGGTGAAGGCACGCAAGCATGACTTACGTTGTCAGCAGTAGTCGCTGAGCTTCACGCTACAACTTGACTTGTGATGTTGCTTG